TTCACCCACTCTTTTTCTCTTCTTTTCACTCTAGGGTTTTAAATACAATTAGATAAACCTTATGGTTGTACGGCAGTAAAGCATCAGCGTCAACACTGAGGTTACTACCCTTAGGTTCTGATGGTCAATCTAAGTTGTTGAAACGAGCAGATACCATTGCCATAAACATTCCGTCGAAAATTCGAAGATAACTTGATAAAGTCGGTGCAACTCGGAGATGATTTATGGTGCGCACACGTCTAGGACTTGTGGGTGAGAGAGAGAGCTAGGTTCTATATTTATTCGCACTCATTCTAAACTAAAATAACAGCAGTCACAAAGATAGCAAAATTGTAAAATTGACACCTACTAATCGCGACTGACTGCTACAGATACCTCGTAGTAAGAAGTAGTAAGCCCCAGATAGGGAGTTTTTTTCGTGAAAGAAGCGACCAGTGTGAACAGTCTAGGGAACCTTTCGTCCCAGGCCGACGATGGACTAGTCTGTGGAGTCTGAATGAATCGTTCAGCTGTAACACCCTTCCGGTGCCTAGCTGCCATGCCACCGGAGGGAAGCATGAGGGCTGAGATACTGCCAGGTTGCCCAAGCCTAGACAGAGGAAGTCGGGAGGCAGAGGTCGGGTTCGAAATACGAACCTTCCGGTCGGTAAATTCGCGCCCTAACCACTTGAACCATCTCGCCCCTGTGAAGTCTACAGGTCAACATGCAATATCCGTGCACGTGCACCAAGCGTTGGAAGTATCACCAACCCTAATGCTTGGAACACTAGCACCCTTTGTCAGAACTTCTGCTGGGACAGCAATGACTGATCTATCCCCTACATTGTATAAAACCCAGTCACTTAGATCAGATAGAGCTACACCCGGGTAACAGCATGAAGGCAACCTAGACAGTTGTGAGGATTTGGTCATGTCATGGTATAATAGTGAACGTATTCCTGATCTCTGTACTAATTTTCATCTGTGATACTCGGGCCTTTTCAAGGATGGTCATTGTTAACAATGATCAAGACGATCAAATTCACGGAGTCCACGGAAGACCACAAGGATATCAGTAAAGAGTTTGGAAGAGAATGATTGAACATAAGAAACGGGGCAATGATTGTTCGAAACTAGGAGGATGAATGCAGTGCCAGCGGCATTTTTCTCTCGACGACCATCTGATGTAGTAGGCATAAGCAAATCTGTTAATCCGTCTACTAATTGGTTCCAAACTTAGTCTCAGGGTTGTAGAAAGGAACATTTCGAATCTTCAGTTTTCCACATAGCAGGATAATCACGGTCTGACCAGGAGGGACATTGTAGCTAGTCGCGGTGAAATCGACCAGACAGAATGGCTCAATTCCAGCCATTGTCTGGAGCTGATTTTTGCTGACATCTCATTATCAATTAAAACAAACTCCTAATGTCTCAATATGGTCGGAAGTATGTGCTTCGGGAACCCCACTGATGTGGTCCGAAACGTCCGGTCTCCTATTAAATGTCTTCTTGTGGCGGCATTTCCATCAGTGGAAGGGTGATAATGGGTGTTTCATGCCGTACATGGGTTTCAAAACGACAATGAACCGCACGTGAAAACAGATTGGAAGGGTGATATCAACTCTAGTTCAACGACCAAAACCATAGTCCTTTTGGACAGTTCTGCACATGCTTCCGCCTTGTAGGTTGAATTTTACTCTCGAACGAAAACCGACTGATGCCATAATAAATTCCCATGAAACTTTCTCCGATTGTCCCAGTGGATGCCGTGACCAGAAAGCCAGCTGGAAAACGCGGTGGTCGAGAAACCGTTTATGTCGGATGTTGGAATGTAGGGACTCTCTTGAATGCTGAGATTGGGGGGGGGGACAAATCGTTACCATATATGCCATTCAGGATTACGAGGTCGACATACATTGTCTGTCAAAAGTCCAAATACCTGGACACGGTGCTTGCTGAGTACGAATCCCTGGGCACAGACAATTCACTTCGGTTCCATCCGGATGACCGACATGGCAGTTCTGGTCACCTTAATACATGCTTTGCATTTTATATTTGTGTTACCGTACTTCGGATGGATCATTTCGAGAACTGTGCTGGAAAGATGTGAATAGTCCACCAATCAGCCGTATACACGTCAATAACTGGTTCCGAGCGGGTCTCGCAAAGCGCTGCAAGCAGCTTTTGACATG